GGACGCAAGTGGTCAACCGTACAAGACGCCTGCATCGTCAATCGCCCACCATCTGCTGACAAACATTGTGTTGACCCCACGCGTATGTTCAGTGTGATCTACACATCAAACGACACTCATGTGCTGCGATACGCGGAGGCGGTCGAGATCAAGCAGCTTGACCCTAGTTTGTGTGTGCAGAAGGACTCATTCGTCACACTGACTCTATCCTGGTAGTAAGCCAGATGAGAAATTGGCAAGGACATGTGTGTGTGTGTGTACGTATATTGGTGAATTTGCTATTCCAACTGCGTTAACTCTTCATGATGCTAGTAATGTTCATGTGTTCCGTAGTACGCACTAGACATGCAGCGAAATTTGTCCGGAATTAAATCGCGCGGTACTTTGGTATTAACGTTTTTAGTGAAAATTTCATTGAGAGTTGCTTCGATTAAATCAATATCAATCTAGTCCCATTGAGTACATCGACGACTTCGAATCAGGATGAGGTACCAACGGAGGACAATGGAACAGCATCTCTCCACATTTGAACCATATTCTTGCAATTAATCAAAATTAACCTGGTCGCACTGAGTCAGTGAATGAACAGCCAATCGGAATGAAGTGCACCTAGTTATCGATAACGTATAATGAGGACCAGGTACAGGAACTTGTGTCATCTATCCCTAGATTTGCCCGGTACGATTTCCGTGACCAAGCTACAGTCAAATCTGCGCCTCCATTGGTGACGAAATGTCTGCGACCAAGTTGCTAAGCTCAGCGAACAAATAAACAACTGAGGTTGTATGTTTGGCTTTCAACCATTGACCAATCTGGCATGAGCGGTTCTGAAGGCGCCAAAAAAGCACACCCCAGCATGACTCAATGGATTGTTGAGGCATGCAAACCATTGAACCACATTAAATCCCAAGCTAAAAGCGACAAATGAGATGGATTAAGAGGATATTAAAGTGGTGGTATTTCGCCAACACGGCTAAGCACATAGGAAGCAATGCTTTTAGGCTGAACTCGAATTTCCAGTATTTACCTGGATAGATTGTAAGATGGCGTCACAGTTCCGTGGTAAACCAGAAGCAAGAGAAGAGTGGGTTCAAAGTTAAGCATACAAGACAGTTAGTGGCAAAAGCTCGAAAACACTACCTATGGATATACTTTTCGAGCGACATTTGTTACCAGTAAGCTCTTCACATTTGAAAGACATTTCGTCAGTTCCGACAGAGACTCGAAACAACTAGGATGTTTATAACAAGTGCCTCGAGAGTGCTCCATTAAATTTAGCAATAGCAGACCGCTGCATTAATTAGAAGCAGGATGGGACACCCGCCAAAATCCTTCTTCAGGGATGACTAGTATCGTCTTTTCACTTTCTGATGGTTTTCATTTTGAGGCCCTCCCCGATAAGTTAGATTTGCAACTGCAATTTATGGCAACGGAATATGCGAAAATTGCATTAGATTAAACACGTTAGAAAGAATGTGGAATTGAGTCTCGTTTGATGTTGGCACAGAGGCGTTCAGTTAAGGTAAGTGTCTGTTTTATACAAAAAGCGAACGCAAGACATTGAAATCGTGGCAAATCCACGACTACTTGATTCGAATTCCGCTGATAATGATTACGGTTATCGTGTTACATCAATCATCGAAGAAATGAGGACATATTTACCGAATGACCCAGAGTGACTGCGTGTGTTCGGACCTAACTCGAGTCCCTGTCAGAGTGAACTGTCAACGTTTGAGGAAGTGGCGCCCTTCTGCGGCGCAAGAACGGAGGATAACAAAGACTGTTTATAGACGTGACTCTATCTGTATGACAAGTAACATAACTGTAGTGATCGCTGGGATTGATCTACTTTATCGAAGCAATGGCACAATTCTAAAGCAGCGAAATAGCATCGCCTGTGGACGAAGTGCAGTGAGAAAACTTGGCCTCACAATGATGTTATTCAGCATAAATCCTAGTTCAAATTCAGTTAACAGATTGTTCGTCCCACGATAGCTTAGCTCTCTTGACTTACAAAGATAATATACACCACGTGCATTCGACAAGGTAGTTCGGTACCAAAGAACTGAGCTTAAATGCAGATGGTGAAGCGTGGTGTGCCGTGATGACAGCGTGAAGGAGATATACCGAGGCTGGCTACTCACTAATTGAGGCAGACGCATGAGTAGTCCAGCTTACGCTGCCGCTAGGCTGAAAACGCAAATGTCCAAGCACTCAACTAGACGGCACGACGAATAGCCGAAAACGAAAGTGTATTTGAAGCCTGCTACACTTGCCAAACCCACCCTTACTACTATGTAACCGTATTACAATAACAAACGCTCGAACGCTCAGTGCGATCGAGAGCAGAGATACGCTGAACCAGTCGCCACATAATCATCATCATACTGCAGAGTAGTGGGGCACCATGGAGAGAAAAAGCAGGTACGGACTCAGCACTACCTGAGGCGAGGAAGAAAATGTGATTTGTGCGAGGAGGATTAACATTAGCGCTAGACGCGATGGGGCAAATAAACTTTCTTGATGTTGGTAGTCAATGAAAAGTGCAGTTGCACGTGGTAAGTAGCTAAAAAAATGACGAAGGACCCCAATTGACAAAACACCGCATGTCTGCCAAGGCTGGCAATTGGGCGACAGGAATGTGCTATTGTACTCCAGAAACAGGGCTACCAATATGACGAAAATTAAAAATTGGCTGGATTGTTATCATTGGAGTAAGGCTTCACATATCCACCATTGACTACGGGTGCTTGTCAGTTCCGAGAGTTTCCAGCCAGGCATGCACGTGGTCCCTGCGCCCAGGAGACGACAGTACCCGACCGAAGCTAAGTTTGATGCTACTGCCTTTACACTATGGGCCGCTCATTCGTTTACCACCTTGATTTGGCTTCTAGCCGACTTTTGCGTGCACAAGGAGGACGTAGTGAAGTAAACGATGTGATGGTATGTGATGGGCAAAACCAACCACCGTAACTTGTGCAGTGAAATTAGGTAGCTCAGCGGTCGGCAGAATTCGTAGCATATGAAAACTTATCGACGTATATCATCATTACTAATGTGAAATTGCGTGCACACCAACCAAGTGCCGAAGGAAGCAATGATCAGAACCACATCACCTCTGAACATCCTTTATGCGAACAGGACAAATCTAACAACCACAGAGCAGGACTGCTCTCATCGTAGCATTGTAGACTCGGCCCTTGAAAGAGAGTCAAAGGGGTCAAATATAAGCCAGATGGGTATGATTACCAAAGGCAACTTGAGCCTTAAAGACGCGCAAAGTGACCTCATCCGTTAAAGCATTAGCTCTGAGGCAGTTTCCGAGGTAAACAGTCTTGTCAAGCACTTTTCAAAAACGACGCGAAAGCGTAAGGGTAGGAACAGTTCCTACCCCCTCCTGCATGAAGACCTTGCACTTCGACGGAGCGAAGGTCATGCCGAACTAGGAGACAGACAAGTCAAACCTACGCAGTGTATTTTGGGAGATGTGCGAGAAATCACAAAGTACAGCGATGTTGTCTGCATACTCCAACTCGCGAAGTCGGTCCCCCGAAAGCATCTGGACGGTGATGGGTTTACAGTTGTCCAGAGCACTCTCTAGGATGCCGTTCATAGCGAAGATGAACAAGTGTCATGTTGGGCAACCATGTCTCACAGTACTCTTAGCACTTGGAACGGAGCGAAAGTATGCTGTTCACATAATACTTGACCCGAGATTGGAGAGTAATGATTTGGTTTCTCAAGGCACTTACTTTTAAACGGACAACTTCAGAGGGCAACTCGGTCCACAATCAAACGCTGCCCAGAAAGAAAACGAATGGTGGCCGGCCACACACCTGAGGACACTACAGTGTCTGGTGGATCGTAGAGATGTGATAAATATAGCTAAGACGTGAGCGAAATCCAACTGCCCTTTGCATATGTGATGTCCGAATATCAGGCTGGGCTTCACTAAAATCAGGACGCCTAGCACTTTGGATGCAATGTAAATCTGGCTAATCCTTAGATGACTGGGGCGGTCGGTCCGGGTACAATTCCGAGGACGAGCACGATATCCGCTACACTTCAAACGAACGTGAGTACTTCGGTGATCCAGATCTGTTGGAGGGAAGCTAACAACCGGACGATTGGTGGGCATTCAACTGTATATAGATGCCAGACGGTGTTCATCTGGATGAGACGATGTGTAGCGTTTCAGGAGATGAAACTAATTAGTAACCTCAACCTTAGACGGTGGTGTAGTAGCGACACAATACAGGAGGCTACGGACTCCTGAGTAGGAACTCATCAGTGCCGAAGGCCAGTTCAACTCTTGTCCGAGATGCTCGGCCAAAAGCACAAGTCGAGGTTATAGTCAGTGGATTGGTTCGCCACTGATTTCGCTTACAGTCGGTCATTTGCCGTTAGTGGATCAGACTAAGATGAAAAGCCTACTGAAATTCCACGAGTTGGCCGCGTGATCCATCTCGATGACCTGCAGCGTCCATTAGACACTACACCGGGATACAAATGAAACCTGATCAAGGTGAGCGCCATGGATGGGACAAACGCGTGCAGGTTGGGATTCTGTGCGTCGGTTGCAGTGTGCAACATGAGTCGATCTCCCTTGCGAACTCACTGTGCAAAAACTGTCAAAGTATAAGTAGTCGGTCGACGATCGTCTCTTAGATCACGGAGACACCTATTGCGCAACAAGCCATTAACGCACCAGATCGGTGGCGCATGAGACATCGGTCCTACTACCCGGAACAGTCAGTTCCCTGAACCTCCCTAGCCAGACAAGATCGATCGGATCGCTAGTGTCACTAAGCAAGCATCCGGAGTGACAGGTAATCACAGCAACAGGTGAATGAGAGTAAAGGGGAAAATGGTCACGTGGGCACATGCGAGCAGAGGTGAAAAGCAATGGAGATAATATTAGTTACTGCATAGAGCGTGTGGACATAATAAAATGAAATACATTAATATGGGATGAAGTAGAAGAGAAAAGGCGACGGCATGCTGTAAAGAGGTAATTATTTGGTGTCAGAAAATGAGGAATTCCTTGGTTACATCCAATGCGAGGCACTATAGGAGAGGGGATGGAGGCAGCGAAAGAGAATGTGACGACGAGGGTCCAAATTACGTCAGCAACGTGCGTGGTTGTATGTGATAATGCGGAAGAAAGCGAAATCCAATGTAAAAAAGATTACAGAACCATCTGAACGAGAAATAACAAATTAGCAAAAAACGACCCAAGTAGAGTAGATAAATTTGAACTAGGTAACTGTGAAAATGCGTAAGGATTTTGGCCCAAAACACAGCTGAAAACGAAAAATACTGAACAAGTCTGCACGCGCAGAAAGGGAACAGAAATGTCAAAGTGTGATCCTCTGTAGAGAGCAAAAGGTTGTACGTTAAGTGGGCGCTTCCAAGTTATCAAACACACAGCGGCAAAAATGAGGCAAAAGGAAAATAATGCTGACACGGCCTAATGCAACAACAACAACAACAACTGGACTAAAAAAATTGAAGCAGCCTTGAAGTGGGGAGTATTCTTGTCATTGATCACAGCGGGCTCCAAAAATACTAAGTGCCGGAGGACGGTAGAATAATGAAAGACGAAGTTGAGCCAATAGTAAATTCATTGGGATGGTTGGCCCCAACCAGTTCGCAATAGATCACACATACAGTGCCTGCGGCGTCGTTGTCAACAAGTGTGCAACTTCCTCGTCCACATTCAAATGGGAGATGAGCAATCTGACGAATAGTGTCTGTGGTCGAATGTTATCCAACATTACTTGCGGATCGGTTGTCGACGACCGCATCAGATTCGGTGCTATCACTGTGGCCAGGTTTTTTGGATCCATGAGGGAGACAGCGGCATTGTCAGGCTTTACCAGGTGCTTGGTGTCAACGAGAGAGGGAAAGTGGGTGAGCTAACCAGATGAAAACATCGTGTCATAATTGAAAGAAATGAATACATAACTATGCTTCCCACCGTGAATCTTGCAAATCTGCAGGATTTGGAAGAACACTAAGCCACAAGAAGACAAATGACGCATAAAGCATGCTGATCACAAAGTGAAGACACGAGTTTTCCGATTAAATACTACAGAAGTGTCAACGCTAAAAGTGTAGTAAAAATAACCCAAAGACGGCGTTGAACTAATCCGACGAATAATGTCAATAAGATGGGCATTTTCTGGTACGAAACGGCGGAACGAATTAACAATCAGCCGACTTCCAAACAAGAACGATAAAAAGACAAGCATAGTCAAAATGTTGTACAATAGGACAAAAGGCAATGGTGTTTCTCACCTGCAGCAATAGAATAAGGTACAGTAAAGAACGTCGTTCAAGTGGAGGAACTTGGCGAACCAAATGGCAACAAGCCTTTATGGGGTTCAAGATGGTTTGATTCAACGCATCCGTGGGATCGGTGAGCTTCTCCGTCAGCGATTCAAACGCTTCCGCCTCAAGTGCGGCCTTAAGACAAATCGGCTGCAAAGGAATGGGTATCAGAGGTTCCGCAAGCTCACGTAACCACAGTTTGAGCAGACCGGCAGCGAGGTGCGCATCAACTTGGTGATTGGTGAAACGCATTGGGCTGCGCTTGGCCATGGCTAAAAGGCTGCGGGGCCAGTGAGATGTTGGGGTCAACAAGACATAGTCCGAAGGAGCTGAACCCAGTGGAATCGGCAACATGGGCCAGGAATAGTCGCCGGTCAGCTGGACAGCCTCCGGGAAACTGGGGGAGGAGGAGGAAGACGTTGTTGAGCAAGAAACGTGGTTAATTTCTGCTCCGGGTGGATTAGGTGCTGGAGGTGCATAGAGCCAGCCAGGAGGTGGAGGGCGCACGATAATAAATCGATCTGCTGAATTAGTGTTTGAAAGATTTAGTGAACCGTATTCTTGTGCACTTGTTGGGATAACGCGAAAGACTTCAAACAGCCTTTCCAGCTGACACCGAATTTCGGTAATCACGTCAAAATCGGGAGAGAGTCTTTGGAAAAAGGAAATGCAGAAACCGGGTAAAATATCACGAATAACGAATTATGGCATATCAGAACGTTGAAAAACGGGGAAATCGATATAGTGTTACACAGTAAAGAAACAGCACAGCTACTTAATCCACAGTTGGGCAAAACTGGCAAAGAGCAAATGGCAGCAGTATAGGTCCCGCAGTCGCAGCTTGATTCGCGGGAAACTGAATAACACTACTATGCGAATTAGACGTGGTAGAGTTGAAGATAAAAGTCGGATTGAGTGTGTCTTGTGAAAATAGGGGATAAACATTGTTTCTTCATTCAGACATTTATGCCACCCACCAGCAACACAGCACTTCCAGATCGATTCCCCACTTGACTGAAGCGCAATGTCTACCTGTTTTAGACACGGTCCCAGTGATGGAAATGACAGATCCACTTCGGCGTTAATCGCCGCAGAGATTGAAATTGCGTTCATTTACACGAGTGCTTCAGATGAACTCACAACAGCCGACGATGAGCTGAATGTGAAAGGAGAACAGATATAGAGATGGAACGCTGCAGAAACGTTTCAACTAGATGCCACATAACCACCACAATACTCGTTGATTGTACACAGAAACTAAGCCACTTCATTTGCTGCCTGAGCGAAAAGTAGCACACGAATACTATGGTATCCGGGTCCATGATTCATCATACGCATGGCTGTTATTTGTTGTGGCGAGTGCATGGCGCGGTGGTTTTCCGACAGCGGTGGGTTTAGCTTCAATTTCGTAATACGCCGCAGGTGGTGTGCGACGGGGAAAAAGAGAGATAAAGCCGCCAGTCCACAGGGGGCGAAAGAACACCGCGACCAGTGACTGATGACTCAGCTGAGCTAAAGAACTGAGCAACGTGGTAGGCAGCTGCGATCGGAGCGCGAAAAACGTGGACAACTCAGCCCACGCGTCTGTCAGCAAATGCAGAAGAGATATCGGTACAGTAGCCGACTTGGGATAACAAATTGGTAGTCTGCTAGCTACTAAACAAATGAACAACCGCTAACTTGGGAAGCGGAATGCGTAGGACGCAAACGCAAGGTTAGGAAATATCAATCGTATGGCTTGTAAACTCAGATTTAGGAAAAACAATCATGAAAGCTGACGTAAGTAATAGTAGGAAAAAGAGGCAGTCAAGGATTTGTGAGCAGCCAAAAAACAACGAAGCATGGCGTCGAGTAACCTAAACAGCAACCCTAGAAGCCTTGAAAAAAAAACTGAGGACGTTGAGGATGGAGGGGTTCATGCGCTTTTCGATGCTAGGCAGTGGAGAACCCAGACAGAATTAGCACATAACAAATTTATTGCTATCGCAATGATAACAACAACATTGCTCACTGAAGTTTGAAGCTGCATTGGAAAGGATGTCACCCTAAGTGTCATCACCGGTGTATGGCACATGTATAGATGGAGGGGTGCGCACAAGTACCAAATTGGTTAGATACATCAGTAATCCAGTGTGACGGAAGCGTTGGTAAAGAGGGGCGATACATTTTAGTTGGGCAAATGTAATATATCACAAAGTAGGATATAGCTGGAACTGGCCAATAAGTTATGAGTTCAGGGAGGTTTGGAGGCAATCGACCGGTGCATTTGTTCGCCAATGTTACCCACTTGACAAAAAAGCCTCGAAGGCCAGGTGAATCATTATGCAATCGCAGTGGAATTTTATGACGAAACAGGGCTGGCTAGCTGAACAACCTCCTCGTGGTGCCAGCTGGGTGGTTCGGGCTTAACCCGTTCCAGCTAATAGTTCGCAGGCAGTGTTCCAGGACGTGGTGGGTTTTCGCCTGGCAAGCGTTCTCCCTATAAAAAGCCACAAATGTCCGCTTAACAACACTGTGACGTGGCGGTCCTGGCTCGCCACAAAATAAAGTCACTGCCCTGTGGATACCTGGATAATCCTTTCCAACCTACGGACACAACTCTTCTACTCGCACATTGCTGAAGAGAGCAAACATTCAAGGATGGAGCAGCACGGTTACATGTGCAAACTACACAGCTATATAAAAGCACACACAATTGCATACTTACATACCCTCTGCACAAACAAGCACTGTTATGGCAAACCTATCGGATTTTTGCACATTCTTGATCACGCATAGTTTTGTCAAAATGATCATACCTGTAAAAGCGTGCCTCGCCTTATCGAGAATAAAAGCTTTATTTATTTAATATCAAGCCGAGCACACTAAGCCCACCGCTTGACGGCACGGTAAAAAGGGTGAGCAAATCGGCAGGTGACGCACATGTCAACATTTTCACAACGACATCAAAAGTCAAAGACCAGAAAAGAAGAAGGGGCAAAAAGATGACAAATGACGACCCAGCTTTTGCAACAGGCACCCAGACTAATCCGAATAATTCTCTCTGTTCAGTAACACAAGTCAGCTACTTACTCGGAAACAACCAGACAGAAAAGTCCAGCCACCCAGCTCCTTCGTAAACATTTGTGAGCATCCGATTCGGTCATGTGATTTAATATCGCAAAGGTCGACAGGGAGCCGGAGACACTTGCTGTAGGTGGACAGAGATGAACAAGTGCTGCGGTACCCACATCAAGATGGTTGAGCTTTCCTCCATGCTTTTCGTGCCCTACTAAGATTCATTCTTGCTGTACAACTTCAAGGGTAACTTCTCGTCCGTTGTAAACAAAGTCGCGAATCCATGTCCACATACAGCCGTGGTGTGCAACCATGGCTTCAAAAACACAGGCATCAACAGTCCTCATCAGATTGGGTGCACAGCATGAAGTTTGATCACAACAATGTCATCTAAGAGGTCTGCCCTTTATTATGGGATGGCTTTGGCATCTTTGAAGGCGGATAGAAAAACCACAAGCAGCTGATGCTGTGCAGAACCATGTTCCATCGGGACAGAATCAATGCACCTCAGCTAAGTCATAAATTCGCTTGCTCTTCTGTTGTCCAAAATACATTTGCAGCCGAGGTTAGATGTGTACTGATCTATTCTTAATGAAAAAGCCGCCACCATGTTTACGAAAATCGCCTATCTAATTCACAGACGGCCCAGTGGTTACCAAAACGTCTCGCCACTGACACCGGCGATAACAAATCTGGGATCGTAACGAGAAATGCCACATAAAAAGGATGGCACTCTATGTCCCATTAGCGAAGCTCCAAACAGGTTAAGATGGGTAGACACGGCAGACGTCCAAACAAATTAACACTACTAGGAAGTTGTTTAAGGATAATATGACCTTCTAATGCTTTCGGCAAGAACCGTGGTTGTCAAACCAAGTGCAGCTGTGACGAGCCTCCATCAAATCTAAACTAGATCCAATCCACCAATATTTCTTAGTGGATACAATGATTATTCAAACAACGCTTGTATTCCGTAATGATCCTGCGACAGTTGCACTGTGCGCTGGTTGCACGAGGGAAATGACTGTAGCAATAGCTCCGTGTCTGCATTCTCGGAGCATGACACACATGTCAACGTAGTTGGTTGCGATACATTTTGTATCAGAATTGGCAGATGTCTCCGCGTGCTTTTAGTGCACGGAGGCGTCGGACACAAACAAGTTCTTGTCAAAACATCTTAGAATCTCATAAAGGTGTCTGCCACGCGTAATCGTAACTATACTCAGGCAGATGGTATCGCTATGGTAGTATTGTGATAGGTTAAAGGATTTTAGCACTGAGATTCGTGTTAAGAATATCTGAAGTAGAGTATGTTTCGAAACAACTAGGCAAGTACAACAATGGGCCCAGTTGAACCACACCGCTGAAGACAGCCAACGACAGGTAGAAAGAATAAATGCACTGGGGTAATTTTTAATCGGAGATTAGTAACCACTAGTTAAAACGGATTTACAGCTTTGGATACGCAACTAAATCGCTGAATGTTCGATGTCTTATAAATCCGTGCGGAAACTGTTGTCATTTAGTTTAGTAAAGTTTGAGGACCAGCAGTGTCCCAGTTGTCGATAATCCGTAAAACATTGTAGGGAATATTTGACAAAGTATAGTAGTGAACAGCACTTGGTACGTCGTATGCTGAAGGTGTAGTGGAATTCTGTAAGATGCGGTTGGTGTGTGTGGTTGGAAAGGGAAAATACCGAACACACTTGCAGGTCAGTTCTGACACGCATCCTCTGTTGCAAGTAGAGAGAAGCGCGTGAACAATACGGCAAGAAGATCGCTTTGCGAAGATGAAATGCTTTGGTAGAGCTCAATGTGCTGCGATTGAAAGTGTACTGATTAGGAAATGTCAAGTGGGGTCGCACTGAAACAGAATGAAACGGTTGTGTGTCGCACAGTTTAACGTGTGAAGATATCCAAGGTAATATGCCATCAAACAAGCACACACGTTTGATCGGGATTAGTCTGTGAGAGGCTCTGTGCATGTGTGCTCAGGTGCAACAACCATTGTCAGCTTATATGCACTCGAGCACGGATGCCTTGTAGCCAAGCATCCACACAGTTTTAATCGAGGAGATATTGAATGAAAGTGAGTTCGATTTCTGGCTGACAACGCGCAAACGACGTCACGCAGAGAACGAGCTCGTGAGCACTACCAGTGATGCTTATTCGTGACATGTGACCAACTGAACACGGAAACAATACGCATGCGAGAAAAAGAGGCTCAAATGGATAAAATTAAAATATCATTACTATACCCATATGCCTGATAGCTGCTTAACCGAATATGGTTGTGTCAAAATTCACGTTTTAACAACCCGTGGTTCCATTTTAAATAGTAATATGACAGAAGAGTCGAAAGTGTGGTAAGTTCATTGACGATCTACCTTAGGAAAACTGTAGCCGGAACAAGGTGCACCGGGTGGTCCATATGAGAGAAACATGCAGAAGTGGCTTTCAGACAAGATCAATCGACTACGCAGCGCTTTGCAGAGATTAGTGAACATCTGACTGGATCCAATTAGTATTGACTTCCCTCAGAAACGACAAATTGCGGAGAGGTTATTGTACAAGAATAGGTGCAAATGGCTGTTTGATTAATTGCAAGAATAGTGCATGTGTCAACGGAGCACAAGTCTAGTGGCCAGGCAGTCTTCTAAACAAAAATGATAATAATAACTGAGAACACAGGGAGAAGCAGGAATGTTAGACCAGATGAAAATTCCGAAGGAAAGGATGCAAGAACGTCACTGACAACCGACCGTGTCATATCGGACCAAATGGAAAAATAATGACGTGGCCAATCAAGGGGACATCACTCGTGGAGAAAAGCACAGATCCCACTGAGTCTTTAGGTGAGTTACTCCAGTTTCAACCTCATGATACTCGGCGTCCACCTCGTGGTTCCACCCAGGTAGGCTCAGCATAAACAAAAAAGAACACAGTTACAAACCAGAGTTTCGAAAAAAATGTATCAGGACTTGCCTGAAAATACCTTCGGTTTGAGAACCGTTTAACCGAAGCAGCTCTTCCGTGAGAAACAGTTGAATCCATGGCAACTTGAGGTGAGGGAACCTGTACGACTGCAGCCGCATAATCTCTGTCATGGAGCTCCCGAATACACATGGTTTCAGAATGAACTCCTAGTAGAAACGGATGTAAAAATGCAAGGCAAGTAAATAGTACAGGTTGGAAAAAACGCTGACAAGTATAGATATATAAATAGTAAAGACAATTACAACACCAATCAGTATAGTGGTAAAGTAGTTAAAGTCCCAGTGTTTCAAGACAGTTCAGTGTGATCTCGATAGGGTCTCATCAAGTGTTGGATGTGTAAAACAAAAATGAGACGGATAGTTGGTTACAATAAAAATAAGAAATCTCAGATCGCACTGACTATGGATTGTTACTTATTATATATCAGTTGAAATTCTCAAGGTACTTTTGCACACATCCCAAGAAGTATCTCCTCCCCACCTCAAACATTTAGCAAAGAGGTTTGCGTGTCGACCGTGCGGTTGCATTCTCTTCGCTCGCGTACACCGCTCAGATTTACTACATTAATTTTCACCGCAAGCATGGGTGCCTACACCCATTCGAACCGACTTAACGAGCGCTAATCGTTGCACTCCATCTTTTAGGTCTAACTTGTGCGGAGTATCTTTTACTTACAGATCGCAGTTCTTCCACCAACAACAGAATCAATGCGTGAAATTTTCCAAGTTCTGAACCAGATAACAACATTTCTACTCCTAAACGAAAGACAGATCTGATATGTATACGACAAGCTATCAACCACTGCTGTCGATTTCAAATTAAAGTAGCTATCGGATATTTTGTTCCTTATTACTCAGTCGAATTGTTTGGATCTCAGAGCGATGTTTGGGCGAATCACACAATCGCTTAATGTGTTCCGCAATATCGTGTGATACATTCTGAGTACTAAGGACGCGCCGACATCAGACTCTGTCCATTCAATCGGCAGTAGACAGGCGAAACGTCATGCGCAGTGACAATGAGTTACAGTCAAGCGCTCAGCCACTGACACCAGAAGATCGACAGATGAACACAAAATGGGGTTGCAACGACCGAGCAAAGAAATTCGAACCTTGTGCAGCCTGAAAAGGTGCGGAAAGAAACATACTGCTTAAATTTGTAATATTGGTCTTAACGGTGCTAAGTTGACATCAAACGAGGTGAAGCTGTACAACAGCCGACCAGACTCCAAAATTCGCATAACTGTTGGCCAGGAATAAGTAAAAGAGGAACACCAAAATTGATTCACTAGGAAAAAGCATGACAAAGAGCAGAACCAAGTCCTTTCCAATAGGCTCAATTTTAGACATAGTGAAGGAGACTGGGCACTTCGCTAAAGAAGCGCGACTTGTAGCCTCGAATCAGCGCGTCAACATCACCAATGACCCAGACACCAATGAACCAAAGACCTCCAGTTCCATTGGAATAAGCACGATTAGGGATCCGTCGACTGTTCTGAAATCTCAGTTTGTTGACACCAATATTCGTGAAAATGTGGCGGATGCCAAGGCGCCAGAGAATTTAAGTTCCCAACTACTGCCATTGGATACAAAAAACAGAGGCGAACATGTAAGTACAAAGTCTCCGCCGACTGTATGTAGACCAACGATGCAGTTGACCACAAAAAAATGAACAAACGGTCATCACGAGACATTATTGCGTACCGTCAAGGATCTGCGCGAGTGCTCCGAACTGAGATCAAAAGGAAAGCAACACGACGAGGTGTGTCAATGTAACTTTTTCTGTGCCATCCTAGGTGTTGCAGGCAAGCCCGTAAACCTGATGCGGGTCACCAGTCATCCGAAATAAAAAAAATGTGGTAAAAAGTGACTTTTCAGAGCTTTGCTATAGACAGCCCGTCTCCTAAGTTAACTAAAGCTGTCGACCGGTTTGATTACCGCATCTTTCTCCAAAAGCTGCAAACCATAAAAGATTAGAGCCCCTGTATTGGACGGATTTGTACATCTTTGTCCAGCGACGGCGGTCGCAGATTACGGCTCGGAGTTCATTCTCCAAACATGCTGAAGTTGGAATGCGAAGTTCCGCAAGGGTCAGTGTTGAGGCCACGATTATTCTTGGTCTTCATTAGCAACCTCGCGTGTCATCGAGTCAATTTTCTGGCTTTGTGCCAAGGAGATCAATATATGTCGGGTGATCGGTAATCAGAAAGATCACGAACTATTGCAACGAAACCTAGATCGCGCTTTCCAATGGTCAAACATCAATCTACTTCCGGCCAAAGCAGGCAAATGTAAAACAGTGCATGTAAGCCACAAGCCCACCAACATATATACAAATGTAATAGTATGCCCAGGAACATAACATGCATCGGGTATAAGATGGAGGTTAGAAAGGTAAGGTAAAGAAAAGAGGAGGAACAAGGGAGCAACTCGAACGTCTTTGAGGCTGGGTCTTCGTCATATCAACTAGTGTATCCAACCAAATGCGTTCGTCGTCCTTAGGGCCCCAACCAGGAACACGGGAGACACCAACCGAAGCCAGGTTTGAAGTGATTAAGTCATCGCTAGGCCTCCCCTCCTCTTTTCCTATCCAGACATCGTGCGCGCAAACAACGCACGATGCGGAAGTCATTGTGTTGACATGCGCAAAAACGTGGTCTATCCATCGGAGCAGCGAGTGTGAAACAATGGTGTCGAGCTCTCCTTGCGCCAAGTACACAACACCGAACAAGTTCACTGCGCATGCGGTATTCCAATCGGATGTGAGCCAAGCTGTGAAGGCAGCGATAATCGAACGTAAGTAGCCTCTTTATGTCTATCAACCTGATGAGCAATGTTCTACAACCGCAAAGACGGGTTCAACGCACAGCTGCGTTGTAAGCTGTGCCCTTCGGAGCAAGAGTGATGTCGCGTTCCCGCCACAGGTGGCGGAGATCGTCAATAGCACCACAAGCTTTCATTACACGATTCGTGACTTCATCTTCGATCCAACGGGCGCCAATTTCTGGAGAACTTTGAGCTGATTATCACTATGGGTTAGTGTAGAGGTGGGTCCCTGCCAATCATGGAGGAGTTCGTATTTCGAGAATGCAAGCATAGCCCGAAACGATTGACAGTCAGAGCTAAAGTGTCCAGTGCTGACTAGCACGTTTGGGAGTTGTCAGAGGTGAGGGCAATGTCGTCGGCATACTCGAAGTAAAGAGGTCGATCGACTGGGAGCAACTCCACATCTTGTAGATCGTGCCCAGTGAACGCAGTTTCGATGACTATGGCTGTTACAATGCCGAGGAACGCGATTAGGGTGGATTGCCGACATAGGTGGCGACGCACCAATAACTGACGTGACGCGAAATTGCGGTTAATACAACACAGAGCTCTACTAAATCCGGCTTGCTCTTCACGAATCTGGCTTTCACGAGTGCCAGTCAGTCTGTAGAGAACGAAAGAGACAACTGACATCAAATCAGATGGTTACTGCACTTCGAATATGGACAAAGACATGCATTAGGAAGAGACTAACAGATTAAATCTGCGGTAGTAAGGAGGCAGTAGAGTTCCGTACTCAGACGATCAACCCGGATGTGGCAATTGCTGAAGGAGCCAAGAAAGATTGATAGCCACAAGAAAAGGTCATTGCAAAAAGTGTCACATGCTGTTCTACCGCATATACATGGAGGTACCTAGAAGTAAGTTTTTCAGTGCAACACTAATATAGAAAAATTACACTAGGGTAGGGGAATGTAATAAAATCGCACAAACTGCAGCTACGGGAGGTGAAACCCTAATATGACGTCATGGAAACGCATTTATGCAGTCAGAGACAAGCAACCATACTCAATGGACAATGAGGACAATCGAAAGAAATCAGCAGAAGTTGCCTCTTTTCACTGTTGTTGGCCAGGTAGGGCTGTGTCAAAGCGAATTACTGTGTAGTACCCATCCGAGGAACACACAAAGTCATGTGAATAGCGGCAACGGTACAGACCTATGATTTCACTGAAAGGTGAACACAGAAAAGGACATGAAAAGGCTGCACAAGCATAAGGATGAGAAGGAGGATAAAAGATCAGACGAACCCACCTTCACATGGCAAATTTCATCTACAGAGGGCGCTTCCAAAGATCTCCGGCATCCAACATTCAATGACCTTGTGAACCAACGCATAGCGACGCGGGCGAAGTGTGCAGCAGTGGGACGATCGCAGGTGCCCATGGAGAAATCAGAAGAGTGGGTAATGATAGCAGTCGGAGAAACATTCGTTAAATCAACCAGGCCGTTCAGTCCATCGTGAGAAACATTGTCTATACTTTCCATGGTGTCAGACGATACACCAGTGCCAAAATTTATCGGACTGAGCCCGGAAGCGATTGCCGCTGCCGCTTCTAAACTCGATTTCAATTGTTTCGGAACCCGCTTTTCGGATGTATGGCTCGAGCACGCTACGGCTGCACTGGCTTCCGCACGTGAACTCAAGTACGCCCCGAGAGGGTCGCGAAACTTGTTGTTCGGTGGAAAATAGTACAGGCAAATGCAGAGCAAAGCCCATCCATTTGTCAAGCTCCTGCTGTGATGCGGAAAACGTGTAAAAAGGTGGGAACGAAGTCACGGAAGCGGAAAATTGAAACATAGTATAGTCACTGATAAATGCGTCCCCTAGTTGCGATATGTTCATCAAAGATCAACCGGCCTGACACCAATTAGCTGCATTTCGTCTGGCGATTCAGGTTAACACCGCACAAACACATACCATGCGATTAAGACACCACATGGATGGCAGCATCCGGTTCCGGATTCACCTATCACTGAGGCTTCCAAAGAAAAGCTACAGGACACCTACGTCTAGAGAGGGACCATGGGTGGTCTGCGCTGCACCACCCACAGCTCCGACCACACACCCCCATATCCAGTGTAAACCCGAAGGAATAAGCTCGGGAGGCATGTGGATGGGAGCCAAGTTTAATCAACGCAGAGGGCTCGCACTCCTTCACAGGCAAACACAAGCACGCTGTATTTGGGGAATCAAGCGCACACAATGCGGTGACTGGATCGTAGCCCGCTCCACACTGGATGGAACCACATGCGATGCACACATATGCGCAAAGTCAGCGATGCATTCTCACAAGGTTGCCGTATGGTTGGTAAGGCGATCAAGTGAGTTAGCGACTAAAGTGCAGGAACTGTGATCAAAAATGAGGTGAATGACGAGTGTGGGACCAAAGTGGACAGCTGGGAGTTGGCCAGTCAAGTGGTGCGCGAAGCATCGTGCCAAACCTCAAAGGACCAGCAAGAGGTAGTACGCTATGAGCAAATCTGATGATGAGCAATTACTGCAGTGTAAGAGGCGGATAATCGAGGTAGAGACAGTGTCAAACAAGGCAGACTTACATGTCCGGATTGCAGGTAGTCTGCTTGCATAACTGAGCGTATAACTCATCACGTAGGCTGACAGAATTCAAAGCGCGATGAATAATAATCGAACCATAATCTGGTAGACTAAGGCGTGCTTTGTGGTCACCCATGAAGCATTGAACAACTGGGAAAGAGACAAAAATTAAGCAACATTGCTGTGAAAATTCAGCCGGCACAAGCAATGAGGTAAAGGTAATTAAGACACCAATTATTTCTGATTACCTAATAAGGTGAAGTAATGCGAGGGAGACATGCGGATCTGTCCGGGCCACCTCGTTACAGTGTTCGACAACAGCGCCAGAGAACAGCATAGGCGAAAGAAACCACAGAAGAAAAACGGGTGTCCAGATGTGCACCGATGTGAGAGGACCAATGGGCATACACGATTAATGCGCGTAGACAGACACAAGTACAGGTAGATTGCCCATGGATAATCGCACAGGTAAAATGTTGAGTCAGGTTCGAGATAAAGCAGAGAAAAGTTTCGCATGCCTGCCCAAATAAGGAAAAAGACGGATGTAGCTTATTAGAATTATTTCGTGTAAGAACGCTTACAAGTCACACTATGAACGAATCGTACACTTGGCTAAGCTCACTGAGGACAGCCCAGATAACCGAGGTAGAGTTCTCCACTTGTGCTAAGGCAGTGGTGCTCAACCTGTACAGTCCGCTTAACGACATCAACTAAGGTTGATTAAAGAAGTCATAATAGAAGCTGTACGTTTGTGGTTTCAGCTTATGCCCCCACTGACTGCGGTTCTGATGCTACCATGGACAACTTTTACCACGTACTGAACAGGCTACCAGTACAGATACCATTGCTGTTGCAGGGGATACGAAGGCACAAGTAGGTCCTCTGGGCTCTTCAGAAGTTCAGCTAGGTGGTACCTATTGGCATAACTCCGAACGAACGGACAGCTGCGTGCGGAGCACCGGTTGCTTCTTAGTAGCACTGCTTTTTGACAAAGTGGGCGCCGAATTGACACTTGGCGCTCTCCCGTAGATGGCCAGAAATGGACCCAAATAGATCACATTGCAATAAGTTACAGGTATCGTGGTTCCATCATGGACTGCTGCTCATTCAAAGGTAATTGCGTCGACTCTGATCATGCCTTCGCGAGCTGTCGTTTCTCTATGAACTTCACCGGGACGCATACCAAGCGTCTCCCTCGATTGGCAACTGACACGTTTTCACAATCTTCACTCAGGCACGTTTATCAAGATGCCCTGCATACCGAACTTTCGCGCTGTTGTTCTGACACTGAGCTTCAGTGGAATAGAACCTCGATCTCCATGCACTACGCAGGAGTCTCTGATTGTGGTGCTGTCAATCGTTACCGCACCAGTTATTAGATATTCGAGACGTCGGTGAACTTGTTGGAATCCAGAAGAAAACTCCCGGCTGGCTCTGAGCACAACGTGACCAGACGGACTAGTAGACGCGAACTAAAGCGGAACCTGTGCGCTGGCAAGGAAGTCTGGTGGACTAGCAGGGCTCAAGAAATGGAGGAGGCATGAGCAGTAGGCAATGACTACAGGCTCTTCCAGCTGGTTTGCACGAGTGGTCCCAGGAAACCAGGCGTCAGTGAGACAATCAGAGCAGCGCGAGTGCATTGATTCACAATAAGGAGCGCAGTATGGCTCGTTGGGCGGAACACCTTCATGATCAGTTCAGTTGACCCCCTGCTACCGGACCTCTTTCACCTCAAGTGATGCAGGACGAGCCACGGACGGTTAGTTTAGAGATTCCATCGGAAACTGAGGTCCGAAACGCGCTCAATGCTCTCAGTCGTTTTCGTGCTGCTGGACCGGAGCTCCTCAATGCTCGCCGACTCGTCCTGCCCAGAAGAGAACACAAAGAGGCTCGTAAAACTGTGCGGTAGTCTGAAGACAGTTCACAAAGCTTAGTGGTCTCACCGTGGATCGAAGATGAAAATGGATGCTGCCATTGGTAACAATCGTAGCTTATTCCGTGTGGTATGCGGCACGAGTATCAAAGACCTGATGTTAGCGCGACAATATGCAACGAGGGTGAACAATCCATTCACAGTCTGTCAAAACACTTAGAGCGTTGGGTGAAGCAATATGAAAGACAGTTAATTAAGCCAGAGTTATCAGTTGTCTTAAAGGTCAGTGATCGCCAGCCTCAGCGAGCCGTCTCCTTCAATCCGCCCTCATGCGCAGAGGTCATAGATCAGACTTTTAAAGTAGTGGAATGTTGCAGTGAAGGGAGCCATTCAACTATAGTTAGAATTTTCAAAACAGGCTCACGTTCGGGACGCGACGAAGATAGTGGCATCAGTCCGATCTCAACTACCTCCAAGTTATTTCACTCCGCCGTTCTCCACCGAAGAATGTGACCCGTGAAACCCAGATTCGTGAAGATCAATCCGGATTTCAAGGAAGTTTGCGTTGGCCACATTCTCACATTATGTCAGTTAATGGAGCGCCGCCACATTTATTCACAACCCACCTTAGTCGTGTTCCTCGACGTCAAAGACGTCTTCGATTCGGTGGCCTGATGTGTCCCATTCTATGAAGGAAAACTGTGCCTGAGAAAAATGCAAATGTTATAAGACCGTTGAATGTGTGAAAACTGGACAGAGTGTAGGCTTGTGGCAAACCGTCGCCTCATTGCAATATCTCAGACAGCGTGGGGCAGGGACGCTCGCTGTCATTTACGCTATCCGCGAAGTCATCGAAACTATGTTCACTGGGAACGACCTACAAGGTGTGGAGCTGTCCGCAGTTGATAGACCTATTGGGTTGGAGAATGCCAACGACATTGCCCTCATCTCTGACAGCTCGCAAGGTGTAAATCAGTACTGGACAGATTAGCACTGACTATTAATCGTTTCGAGCTATGTTTGCACTCTCGAAATGCAAAGTTCTTCTCTACGATTGGCAAAAAACTACCCCTGTGCTGACCCTTAGTGATAATCAACTAAAAGTAGAACAGAAATTCAAGTACCTAGATATCTGGCTGTGAGATCGAGGAGGAGATCACGAAGTGTATAGTGAAAGCGCGAAGTGCTGTTATCAATCTCCGCCACCTGTGGCGCGAGCGTTTACGACACAGCTATGTGCTGAACCATTCCGTACGGTCGCAAAATCTTGTTCACCCGGTTGACAGACAGAAAGAGGCTAATTAGGTTCGACCAGCGCTGCTTTCGTAGCTTAGCCCACATCCGGTTGGAATACCGTATGCGTAATGAACTTGTTCGGTGTTGTATATTTGGTGCAAGAAGTGACAGAACCACGCAGCAACATTATTTCAAGCACCATGCTCCGATGGATGGACCACGTTTTGCGTTTGCCAGCACACTGAGTCCCGCGACGTGTCGAGGACGTACATGGAAAAAGTGGAAGGAAGGCCAAGCGATGAGTTGATCTAGCAGAATGAAGGACCCCACTTCCAACTTGGCGTCCGTTAGTGTCCTACGACTTCATGATTGGGGTCCGAAAGAAGACGAACACGGTTGGTTGGATACACGTGCTGACATGTCGAAGAGCAAACCTCAAGGACGTAGGTGTTATTTCGTTGTTCTTACGCTCTCCTTTACCATTCGCCTCCAACCACGACTTCATATCCGATGCATAATATTACATTACCTTCTCCAGATCTTGAATTATGCAATGAATAGCATCTCACGTTTTCATAAAGCTATTTTTTTCTGTATTGCGGCACAATCCTGATGTGGTACTTCCTTTCAAGTCTTCTCATAGCGATCGACAATCAAACCAAGGAATTTCAGTTGAGACACAAACAATTAACATTTATCAGCTCTAAGAATCAAACCATATTCCTGCAGACATTCGAATACCTGCAAGAGGTGGTGGCTATGCTGGGGGTCCCGTCTGTTGATGAGACGATAATATCATCCAAGTATGCACAAGCCGCTAATATGATGTCCATCAGTTGCTGAAAGAGTCCCGGAGCAGCGTTCATCCGGAACGGTAGCCGATTGTACTGATACAGAAAACGGTGAGTGTTAATTGTAAAAAGGTGCCGTGCATCAGCATCGACTACGACTCTAAGATAGGGATCTAAGAGATCAATCTTTGGAAAATTTTTCCGTTGAGTCTGGCGAAAAGATCCACCGTAATGGCAGTGGGTATTGATGGAGATTTAGTGCTGTCTTCAGGCCGGTTAAAAATCGCCCCAGAAACGAATGGCTCCGTTTGCCATTTTCAGTATAATTATGGGCTCACCCTAGTTTGAGTATTCCTACTATGGAAAGCACCACCGATTCGTTCCAAGAGATCTAATTCAATGACAAGTAACTTAAAAGAAACACATGGTATCGGTATTTCGGATCGAAAAAACAGGCTCGACCTCATATCTTAGGTATAGAGATACCGCGAACTTGGTGCAACAGCCACATGTGGGGTTGAACACCTCTAGGAATTGCTTCTCCGTGCCGTCGACGACTGCAGTCGGTAGAGTGTTTTGGTAAAATGAGGAACATACCGCTGTGTACATAGCGAATCGCATCCAACGTTGGGCGACACAGATATACTTTTACAGTAGCTTATGCACCTACGGCAGAGTTCGGCTACACTGATGCGCTGTCTCGACTTAACGCAAAACAGCTGAGCATAGAAGACCAAGTGATTGCGTTAGTTGCGCCTGAATCGGACAGGTACTGAGTAATCCAATCTGAATTCTTTCGATTAATTCCGTGGACATTTATGAGCACCCAAACTCGACGCTCTTTACCGAAACGTTATTCATTTTTTAAACATAAAGAAAAAGGGACCGAAGGTAAACAATTGTTTTCGATGAATTCACCGTCAGACCTTTACAATCATATGGGTGAAGAGCAATGGGAGTAACAGTGGTTTTGATCAGTTCAAATGAAACTGGATCATGTGCCAACCGGGGGGCATAAACCAGCAATAAACGTAAATGATAAGCGCAAACTAGGGCAAAGATGTATTCAAATGATTGCTTCTGGCCTCCGAGTCGTCCAAGGTAACTTAAGAGCTTCGATCAGTTTCTTTTGTGAATACAAAAACGGTTGATACAACCGAATACTGATCACCTCAGCTGTAGCGAGGGTGCGGAGGCGCAGGCCTTTCGATTGGAGTGGCGGAACCTTGTAGAGTATTCGAAAGGCGCGGACTGGATCGACTTCATGCCCACTATCAACTAGATGCGCCATAACAGAGCTAGTTATAGCCCCGGTACCGCCTCGACGCAACCAGCGTGGAAGGTGCTCATTAATGTGCTTTGACAAGTGCCGTGCCGTTCGACCGATGTAAGTAGTGCCACAGACGCACTCGAACTGATAAATGACCATAGAAGCGGTCAGCATCGGCAACTTGTCTTTGTTGCAAATGCGAATGAGGGGGTCCGTTAAGAAAGTGCACTTGAGCTTAGCAGCTGGAAAAGTTGACTTAACGGCCGTAGAAAGGCTTCTGGCTACACGTTCGGCGGCTGCGTCTCCTTTGAAAGGTAATCTTATAAATAGTTCTTTCTTCTCAGCTGTTGGAATCTGCACCTAGTCGAGTTTGTCCTGCATGTTCTTAAGAATGAATCGATCAGGATATCCGTTTTCGCGCAGCAAATTTTGAATGAACTCCAACTCAATATTCAACGTGTCTTCAGAACACATCCTGCGGGCCCTTGTGGTTAAAGAGCGAATTAGGTTTGGCTTGTATCTCAAAGGAACAAAACTACGGAAATTCGTATGCTGGCCACTCCAGGTTTTGTTCCTGTAGAAGTGCCGTTGGATCGAGCCATCTACCCTACGAGTTAACAATACATCAAGGAACGGCAACCGGTTGTTCGCTTCCTTCTCGCAGGTAAACTGCAATGCTACGTGGGCCTGATTAAAGCGTTCAATAACAGCGTCGAGGTCAGTGGACTGATCGGCCACAACAAATATGTCATGCATACAGCGATGATAACAATCAAAGGTGGGGATCTCCGCATGTAGTTTGGTGTTCTCTAATTTTGCCATGAAGACCTCAGCAAGCAGCGGACCTAGTGGCGATTCCACGGCTACACCATCCTTTTGACGGTAGTAGGTGTCATTGAATAGGAACTGTATGTTCCAGGTGTAACGCAAAAGGAGACTTCTCAAATCACACAATGGTATGCCTATCGTTGTCTGGGTTTCGTTGATGTAGGTACAAATGTAATCAATTGTCTCGAGAAGTGGGACGTTGGTGAAAAGCTAGACAACATCCAAGGAAAACATTATTTTCCTACTGATGTTGTGGTCCCTGACGCTTTCGATGAAATGAAAAGTGTCACGAAAGCTGTAATGTGTAAGTCGCTGTCTTATTGGCTCAAGAATTTCCACAATCCATTGGACAACAGAATGGTTGGGCGAATTAACCATTGATAAAATTGGGCGAAGTGGGACATCAGTCTTATGAATTTTAGTTAACCCGTAAAGCCTCGGAACATTCGTGCCACTCGGCTTAAGGCAGTCATAACGAATATTTGCGATGTATCCGCTATTCTGAAGCTCTTGCAAGCTCTTAGTAAACTGCTTTTCGGTTCGTTCCGTTTGATCCTTTTCTCCAATTGTTCGCGAACATTTTGTTTCATCACTCAGAATTCCTTCTACCTTGTTTATATAGTCGTCATTGTCCAATAGAACGACCCCAGTGCCTTTGTCTGGTTTGCTCAGAAAGATCTTATCATTGCGCCTTAAATCCTTCAGTGCATCAAAGTGCTTGCGTGTCAGTGGACCATGATTTTGAACATGGCACTTTCGATACTGGTAGCAATTGTTCACCAGAGAACATTTGAAACGTTCCAAGTCCTCATTAGACTTTGCTGCTAACCCTTTTGTTTGAAGTAATAGGCTTTCAAACTGTAACTCACAGTGCAGCTGATTATCTCTGTGTCTGGGGGCGCAAAATTCTAGACAAAGTGATAGAACTTCCATTAAAGTAGAGTTCAATTTCAGGCTTGAAAAGTTATGCACGTACCTATCAGGTCTACTTGGGAAAGTAGATTGAGGCTTAACCTGATTCAACATCTTTGTTAAGGCCAAACGCCTTTGTCGTACACGGTTTGCGGTAATAGACTGAAAGTAATCCAGGTATGTTTGTTTTACGTCCAACGTTAACTCATCAATCGCATGCTGGCGCTGCGCCACATTGCGCTCGAAGTCGGCTATTTTGGATTGCACCGTGTCACGCTGGTTCAAAACATGCCATCTAAGCGTTTTGGTGTTAGGATAGATCCGACTGCGGCGTAGTTGCTTCCAGAATCTGCTGGAATATTCATTGCGTTCAATGCAAACATTGAAAAATTGAACACAAGTTCTAGCTTCGGCAAGCCTAGTGGAGAACTTAAGGAACTGATTTAGCTCCTTCACCACTGAGGGCGGCATGGACGATTTCAGTAATTGGAAAATTCCCATTTAATCATTAAGAACAAAGTGATTAAATTACATTAGTTTTCGATAAATCTCATCAGGCATTTACAATTATAGGTCAAATTAGTATACCGGTTTTCTAATTTTGCCCAATAGTTGTAAGTGTCTGAGGAGATTTAGCGAAAAGAACGTTCTTCGCGCGATTGTGATCTTCTGATTTCATGGAAATTATCCACGAGTTGACAAAGATCACCAATTTTATTGTCGATGTGACTCGTTGGTATTGATTGATGATTGTGTTATGTTCAGTGAACGAGTGATTTTCCGGAAGTCCCTGCAGGCAAAGGTATTAAGGCATTTGCACCCACATCATCACGGAATGTCACGGATGAAAGTCCTAGCCAGAAGTTATGCATACTGGCCTTGTATTGATAACCCTAACCATGATCGTGTCTCCACAAGTATCGATTGTGCCTATCAGCGAAATTTCTGAGCAGAATCATCCACCTTTGAGCTGCCAACAACTGTTGAGCGCAGTGATCAGACGGAAACGCGTACAGAACATGCCAGGGAGGTACTCGGAGACCTATGTGGACAACACAAGCGATTTGAAGTTCACAAGTGAAGCAAGCACGTCAATCCCACGGGTCGGGAAAACGTGTGTTTAAAGTAATGTTATGCCAAGCGATCCGTTGTCAAACGTACGACCTCGTGCTACACGTTTGACCGTGAACTTCATTATCGTCCACCGCACCACACCGCACCACTGTAGTTCATCTGCATGAGGCTTCCGACTATGCGAGGCGGCCTGTCTAACACCCTCTCCCCTTACACTATATTGTCGGCTGTCTTGCTTGTTTCATGTGACTTAACATCTGATCAATACACTGTCCTGTACGGGGAAGTCTTTGTTCTGACGGCTTCATGCCCCATTAACCGAGAGTATGGTAAACTCACTCACAGTAACATTCGCCAGTGATCCACTCTGACTTTACCATGGCCAGCTGTCGCACGGACAACTACCGTGTAAACAAATGACACCCAATTTGGGCATTTCGACACCTTCAGTTTATAGCAAATCAATCCAATGTGTTGTATTCGGCCTGACGATAAGTCACCGAAAACGAGCGCGTTTGCTAGATCGTCTTTTCACAACAAACAGCGGAATTCCCTGTAGAAAAGGTCTCACTCCTCCGCATCATCAAGCACAATTGTCAGACGATAAACAGTGTTGCTCACAGCAGATCAAACAAAACTTGTGTAATGATTTGGAAGCTAAGTGGCCCCTGGGTACTTTAGAGACAAAGGTTGCTGCCCTCTGGAGAACTCTGCAATCTCCTCCGATTCATTCCGAGCACCGACACTTAGTATAAGAGAAACCACACATGGAGTACAAAGGTCGTCAACCGTTGATTTGTAACGACACATAGACAGGTGGGCCGAACAATTTCGATCATATTTGCATCGGTTACCGACATCAGCCTGTATGACAAATATATACAAACGCGTGCTGAGTCGATTCTATAAAATCATGTAAGGGGATGTGAGGGCCTGCCTTGAAATCCAACAACAGAAGGCGATCCAAGTCTTTCGGCTCAGAGTAAGCTACCAACATCGTCTTGATTGGTGGTGACACACAGAGAATGCAAATCATCTTGAATTGCTTGGTGAATGAAGCGTCGAGATTTTACATGTTCTTCTCTCCCTCAAGGTGAAGTGTTGTCCAGGGACTGGCACTCATCGGTTCATGCACTCATTTCAGTTGGTGAAAAAAAGTAAAAACCGGACAAGTAGGTTAATTATGGAGCAGCGTATCTTCCGATAGTTGCATTAGACTGTTTTGTCAGCGTTCGTCAAGATGAACTGGCATTCGTTGCTTCGTCCGGACCTATGCTTTTCTTGTTAAAAGGTTGACTCCGCAACACCGCTGTTACCGCGATGTTACTTTACGTAGGGAAGATAATCCTGAAGGATTTGAGTAGATGACATTGAGCAACCTTTGAGGATAAACAGTGGAATTTTGCGGAGTATAGTCCGTGTGCGGTGGCAATATGGAAGCTGTAGTGACGAAATTAGATGTGTTTTGGAAATTAAGGGGCTACTATTGCGTCGTCATGCCAATTCATGTTAGTTGTCACGCCATGCTCCAGTTGTTCCAGCAGGACCGCAATGGAAGAGACCGCATGATGGTCGTCTACCGTAGAGTGAGAAGGACAAGAATGCTGAGTCCACGCTCAGCTACCAATGAGGTAAAACAGAAGTAGAAACACTGTGCGATGTGATTCTGTGAATAAACCGCACACAAATTTGCTTGGACTGAAGAGTTAAGCGCGTAAACCTCAGAAAGGACAAAAAATGCAATCACGACGTCGGGAAAGTGAGTGTTCACGTTCCATTTCAGATTTATGGTACCAATAACCTCTTCTGATTTCCATGATTTGACGAGTTATTCAAGTACCTGCCGATATCATGTGTTGCGTACAAATAGCTGCCGTATCTGATCTCGTATTGTCAATGAGATGTCAATGACAAAATATCGACAAGCAAACAAGGGACGTAAAACGCGTACTTTTAAACATATCGGCCACTTGTTTCTTCATGCTGGCATCAGTGTTGGCAAGAATTCGCTTTGAAAACTTCGCCTGTAAAGATGGAGAGATGTGGATACGAATGGAATGGGGAAACATAAGGCTCACGAAGTAGTTGGTTGGAACTAACGGTAAAGAGCTGGTAAGAAATGCAAAGCCAGGTTCAGTGGAAGGCATGCAAAACAAGTGATATGAGACATCCACAAACACACAAAGTGTAGACAACCGCCACGTATAAAACAAGGTATACGTTATTTTCTATAACCACAAGGCATTTGGGTACGAAACTCGTGGAAAATCCCTTTAAGCTGCTGATGTTCGCCAATGCTTTCGAACTGTGCCCGTATGTCAATAAGAGGAGTGTCTACAGCGAAAATATATTACAGTCCAAGTTAACAATATGGCCCACTAAGACGGAATCAAATGATGCGCACCAAAATGAACAGCAAAAACACTCCGATGTAGACATCTTTGGAGGAAATTAAAATATTATTGGCTAGTAGAGATAGAGAGTCTCAACCGAATAGCTCGGAGGCGACATGATTATTCAAGGACCGGTACACACGATAAGCTTGTATACACTCCAGTAATTATTAGCCTCATCACTAAGACAACTTAGCACTAAGTGCATAGTAAACTGGTAAGTTGGTCAGGGCACAACAGACAGCAGACATTTCGACAGCGCGAGCTGTGCGCGATGACCCGTTATATCCAGAACCAAATATTATATGGGCAATGTGAATGCCCATTAGGGAGGGGCGACGAACCGAGGCATCCGATCAACAGCCAAGGCACATCGATTCCCATTTGTAGGTCAGTGAACTAACGGCGCGTCTCGAAACAAATGCTATCGAACTTCGACTAGACAAAACAAAGTGGTGAGTTGGATGGCACATGTGGGACATATAGCGATCTAAGCAACATACTCAGTCCTACGGGTAGATTAAACGAACCAATATGAACAATCCGAGGATAAGTACCCGTCCATGCCTTTGTGGATAGGCTGCTGATGTCGGTGAACAAAAGTTGTGGTCCCCGACTGATGGCTGACCGTGTCTGAAGTCCCTAATACTGAGTAGCCAATTTTTATTCCCATAGAATTATGTCTTTTAAAAGTAACGGAAATCCCTTTCGCATATCAACAGTGTGCCTGATTCATAAAGCAAAGGCAAAGTTTCGCAATGAATGAACGAGGTTCGCTATTTAAACATTCGTCTTGATCAGAAGCCGATAACAAAGGTGGACTGAACAACTACCAGCGCTCGTCGTGTGAATGGATTGAGACGCGTGATCTCAATGAGGACTGCGATTCACATTGAAGCGAGCCTTGGCCAATTCGATCACTCGGACCGTGACTGTTAAAACAGAGGAATACAGGATGTTGCTTGCTCGAAAACACCGCACTCTACGATCAGATTCGAACATATTGGATCTCATCAGGTAGATATAGCAGGCGTCGAACACGGGGGCATTGGGAAGCAAGCCGATATCTATACGACTAAGCCACGGAGCCACAGCGTGAAACGCTTATCATAACGTCAATGACCGCAGGTTGAAGGGGTAATTCTGAAACATTTGTTGTGCTATCGGCAAGTGCGACACTGCTCACAAAGTTGGCGCAGAATGAAAATGAGAAAATACTCGCTCGTTCCTGTCTTTCGTTCATATAGACTCTTCGGTCCACAATGAAAAGATGGACAAGGAACGCGGCTTGCAACTTTATCGGCACGCCCCAAGTGATATTCCCAAGTTAGTGATAACCTACTCGAATGTGGATTTTACGTGCATCGGTGGAAGTGATCTGGAGAGTGAGGTCACGTTAGAAAGGTCAAAATGACCATTATTTGATTTGTCATCTGGGTAGAAAGCGGTGCAGGGGCTGAGGACCAAATGATCTGTTGTTAAAACGGCCAAGCATAATGACACAGACGGCGTACTCACCAAACTGGTAAATCGTCGGAAAGTCAGATGAGCCCAGTCTACTGGCCCTCTGGGTGAGGGTCCGAAAATAGAATCACATCCATTTCTGTGAAAAGAGAGCGCTTCTAACTCCCTGCTGTATAGCAGGCAGGCTATTGCCCCAGGGACTTTGGATGATGACACTAATCACTCTCCGATCTGTCAGCATCCAAACTCACGTTAAGGTGCGGCTTGGTGGGAATATAGTGGATCAAAACTATGCGAGAGACATTGCTTTGCAGTTTAACGACATTGGGAAGGTTAAATCAATCCTGAATAAGTCATCATCTGAATACGCTTCGTACCTTCAAAATGCAGTGTTGCTGTAAGACCGCCAGCCACTTGACGGCCTCTTGATAGCTGGGGAACTCGAGGTAGTTGATCAATTCATATACCTTGGCAGCTGCATCAGCAACGATGGGCACATAACCACTGAAGTTATTTCACCTAGTGTAAGAGCTAGAACTGCTTTCTTGAATTTGCGACATCAGTAACGTAAGAAAGGGGTTTCTCTCGGTCTGAAAGGCCGTGTTTACAAGACCACAGTGAGGGCCGTCCTACTCTATAGAAGCGAGACGCGACTCCTCCGATTTGAGGATCTGAAGCGCATTCAAGTCTTTGATCACCGCTGTCTGCGAAGCAAGGCTTGTGTCGCATGGCATCAGCGTGTCCACAAGGACGTTATGCGTAGACGAATGGTAGTCAGGCTAGTTCCATGCAGAAGCGGATAGCACTGAATAAGCTGCGCAGCAGGGTGGCGCAAGGCTCGAGGTGGGCAAAAAGTATCTGGTTGTTGGGAAAGTAATTTCGCATGATTTTCTTAAAGCGAGTGAATATTGTGTCAAATTACATATTGTCCATTCTGGTTCAATATCATTTGCCAACTTTCTGGCAGTAGCTTGATTCCACGCTCATAATAGGTCTGTGTTTTGCTGGCAAAAAAACAAAACCAAGTGATTTTGACCTCCTCCCTTAAAGTAACGGTTTTACCGTCTAAAAAAGTTTTAGAGACGGGAACAAATGATAACCAGAAGGCGCCAGATCTGGAGAATAGAGTGGGTGTAGCAGCGTATCCCGTCCAAGGTGTAAAAACGTATGGCGAGTTATCGAATTTGGACGAAGTCTCGCATTATCTTGGTAAAACACTACACTTTTTCTATTGATTAATTTTGGACTTTTCTGTGTAAGTGAATCATTCAATTTGTACAGCTCATGACAGTACACTACAGAACTGATGTGTTGTTGTGGTAGAAGCTTAAAAGACAATTCCTTTAAAATCCTATCAAACAGATAGTGTCCCCTTTGTTGATGAATATCGGCTTTCGAAGTGGTTTGAGCCGGTTCATCATTTTCACTCCATGATCTCTTGCGTTTAAGATTGTTGTAGACAACCCATTTCTCATCTCCATTGATGAGACGTTTCAAAAATGATACCTTTTTACGGTTGAGAAGTAAATCACAGACGTCGATGCCATGGCACAAACGTCTTACCGTAAGAACATGAAAAACCCATATGTGGAGCTTTGAGATGAAACCTAGGCATTTCAAATGATCACGAATGATCGAATTAGATAAATTTAATCTCGCATATATCCCACGAGCTGTTGTTTATCGGTTTACGACAAGCAATGCAAATTAATTAAATAATTGATACAATTAAGTGATTAACACAATTAATTATTTATTCAATGCCAGATCGAAATTTTGAAAAGCAAGTTTGGTATCCCTGTTATGTTAATACATCTTTTCCATACATATCCGATAATTGTTTTGTTTGAACAGCATTTTTACTTTCTCGATAGTAAAAAAAGTAACAAATGCATAAGATGCTGCTTTTTAATTCCCGTATTTGAAAGGGCGACAACAAAATCTACTGTATAGAATAAATCGAACTTGTGTACAAGCAAGCCTTGCTATATCATCTGCCAACATATAGAAAGATTATGCGGATTACGTGCGAAGTTGGTGGTGAAAAAAGAAGTGTATATAAATAAAATGAAAAAATTACTTTCCGGACAACTAGATAACTTGATTATAATACTGGGTTCCGTTGGTCCTACTCGCTTGACAGGCTGGAATCCAAGTGACTCGCATTGTGCTTGGCTCGAGATGTTACAGGACATGGCTCGCAGTCGGCACCTGTGGTGCGTGTGCTGTCGTCCCCTAGACGGATTGCCTGTTTAAAGTGTATTTGCTGTTGGCTTATCTGCGGGGTAATTGATTATGTGGGCAGTGGAAGTCGCAAGAAAATTGTCTCTTCGATTCTGCCTTATATTTGCACGATAGCCAGCTGTTTGTGAAGGTATGTCAATGACACAAAGTGCAAACGCTTTGACCATGAATGTATGTTTAGAGCATCAAGATTCTCCGGCAAGTCCCTCTTCTCTTCCTCTTAGCTTTCTCCATTTCTTAGGTCAGTGGTTGTAAGGCAGTGAAGCATCAGTGCAAATGGCTGATGGGTTGCTGTAGACCACGGATGTCCAAAGTCCGGCCTATGGGCCAAATGCGGCTTAGATCAAAATTTCAACTGGCCCGCGGCCTCATCATGAAATAATAAATACGAGTTTGGAATTTTAGGATAGAAACCTTCTACAGATCACAAAAATTAAGGACCTTATGAATACAAAATGTAATAGCATCAGATGTTGGCAAAAAGCAATGATGTATTATTAATTTTTAAATAGGAAAAGCTAATTAAGTGCTTTTACTAAAATGGTCTTAACTAAATAAAAAATAAAACGATGGGTTAGTTAACTGTAACATATATATATATATATATATATATATATATATATATATGACTACCTAAAGCTAACTCGTTCTGAGAGCGGGATTTTCTTATAGGTTAACCCAGCCTCTAAATTTTTATTGTGCTGTAATTTACCTTAAGGTACATCTTTAGACACAACTGTTTCACCCATTTGATTCGTTAATTTCACAAAAAGCAAAATATTTCTACTCCACTTTCAAAACTCTTATGATAAACGGGTTTTAACTGGACTAAAAAGGAGTGATTCGTTAACTTTTATTAACATGATTGTCATTCCTGTTCTGCTAGTATAAAAAGGAAATTTAATGACGAAGGGTGCCTCTTCCAGGAAAAGTGAAAACTAGTGTACTTTTTCACTGAACGGCTGAACAATTGTGTGTGATTGGTTAGGAGAGTGACTATCTTCAAAGAATTCATTAGCTAGAGGCACCACCAAAAGAGGCATGCCAACTAGGACAAGTTGCCTACAAATGAACGAGTCCAGCGACTGAAGCAACTGGAGGCTTGAATAACCTCACAGCAAAGCTTGTTTGCACAAATCGGTCAGTCGAAAGAAAATGCGACAAAACAAGTTATGAGGTCGCAAAACTAATATTGAAACACTGCAAACCATTGACGGAAGGTGAATTTGTCAAAGAAAGTATCATGAAAATTGTGGAAAATATCTCTCCTAAGAAAACGTAAGTTTGTCGATGTTTGTCTGGCACACAATACTGTGGTTCAGAGAATCGAAGATATCACTGAGACTAAGAGACAACTAGAAGCAAAAGTAGCAAATCTTGAATTTTTTCGATAGCTTGTGATAAGAACATTGATGCATTTGACATTACCCAGCTTCTCAATTTTTTGAAAGGAGTTAAAGATGACATGTGTGTGAGTGAGGAATTACCTGATCTGCAGGGTCATAAGAATCAAACAAGAGAAATAAATTCATTTGATTCCGTTTCTTCTGCAATCACGGGTTTTGAATTATGATGGAAAAATCTCTGGAATTATTAATGACAATGATCCAGCCATGACTGGCGAGCACAGTGGATTAACAACACCTGTCTGTAACAAAGCGAGGAGGGGGGGCAAAGCCATTAAACTTCACTGCATCACTTACCAACAAGCTATTTGTGCCAGACATCAGGCGTGATCATGTCGTGAAGCCAATGATAAAAGTTATCAACTATCTTCACTCTAAGGTCCTGTTTCATCGTCAGTTTCAGCAGTTGCTACTCGACATCCCGAGTGAATGCGGAGATGCTGTGTAACACAATTATGTAAGATGGCTCAGTCGAGGGATCGCACTTCATCGCTTCGTACCCTCTTAGAGAAGAAATTCGACAATTCATGGATAATGAGAGACGATCGATACCAGAACTATCTGAGCTTGCTTGGTTGGCTGATTTTGAACATGTTAAGCTCGAGCCTTCAGCGTCAGTAGGTAGTGGCAAGCCAATTGCATTCGCACATCAGACTTTAGGAATAATCTGGAACTTTTCAAAGACAACTGTTTCAAATGCAAGAAAGCATAACAGGTCTTCCAGAAAGTAACGTCAACGCACAAATGCAGAACTGTGTCGCAGATAATGTATCCCTGGCTAATGAATTCCAAAGATGTATTCAGGACTTTGCAGCCACTGAAAAGGAGATCAAACATTTTTCTTCGGCTTGTTCTGTGGACCCTGACAATGCTCCAGGCCACCTGCAACTGGAACTCAATGAGTTGCAAAGTGATGTTGAATGTCGCAATCGGCACCAACCGCTCCCTTATTGGTTTTTAACGTCAGCTGGATAAAGACAGATTCCAAGAGATTCGAATATTTGCTTAAAAAAATGCTCATCTTATTCTGATCGGCATACTTGTGTGAACGGACACGCACAGTTTTGGATTATAAGAAGAACCGCGTGAAGAGGAGACTAAGTGATTCTCACCTACGTGCTATTTTGCGTATTAAAACCAGTGTCTTCGAGCCTGAACTGACCAGTTACTGCAGTCAAGATCTCAGTTTTACCATTCACATTAAAAACTTGCAATAAAAAATTTAAAACATGCCATTTTTGGTTATTAGCTACATGTCAGACCATATATGGCCCGACATATTTTTGCCACACAAAATGTGGCCCTACTTGCGAAAAGTTTGGACAACTCTACCGTAGATGGAGACAGCGATAATGAACAACGCAGTGAGGGGCTGAAACCGCCGCATCATATTAAAATCCGGTGTGATGTATCTAAGTGGGATCAGGGTAACTCTATGAATCACTTGCTGATGGAGAACAATCACATATGCAATATGCATAAGATTCGTAGCTTCAAAATACAAGATAGTGTCGGAAACTGGGCCGACGCTGTTTAACGCCGAATAGTCAACTGAAGAAATCGACTGACAGTTGCATCACCTCTGGCAGTCACATCGCGTAGGTCACTTTTTACATGAGAAAAGCCTCTTGTAAAGCCAATACGTCTCAGCTACCGAACACACCTACGTCTAACACTCCTTGGAGATAGCAGAACATGTCATTGGAGGAAACTGCGCCAAATGCCCCTACCTCATTCATGACATATGCCTATTCCAGATACATAGAGATGGAGCAACTGGTCGTTCTAACTTCCCGTTCCCTATCATCTTCAGTTGAATCCGACAAAAAACGAACACGGATTACTTAGTTGGTCAGTCTCAACAACTACAAATCAATGATAATGACATTTCCGTGAATCACAACCCAAAATCACGCAACACCAGGCAACTGATTGCCGCAAGGAGTCAGTCCATTCAATACCCATTGGAAAGAGACGACGTTCAGCTGTACAAGGTCAGCCCGAAAATATGATGCATTCGTACAGTAATCCAACATACTAGAACAATGTACTCAATGTTAAAACAAATGACCTAATATCCAACAAAAACAGACCAACCATACATAGGAACTCAGTGCCCATGTTTAACAAGCACACACGTTTACAGTAATACGTGGTTGTAACCAACAAAATAGGCGATTTCCGACAATACAAACAAAATACCCAAGAGTGCTGTAATCCGTGCGGGAAAGCAAAGTGGAACAAATGTTACAACTGAAAACATCCAGAGCAATCATAACACAGTGCATTATTTATCAGTACATGGGGGAATAATTTGGCGCTCCAACCGGCAGGCATTATTCCAATGGTGCCCGAAGAACGGTAAAAGACGAATTTTAAAGAAAGCCATGTGAGTTAGATCACATCAGGATATTGATCTAGGTGACAGAATATTTGTAAAGCCAATACGCAAATTAGTCTTGTGAAATGTGGATGATTTCTCCTAAAAGCTTCTGTTCGACCCACAGGTGAGCAATATGGCAAAATGCCGGTAACTATCCATCATGCAGAAGTAAACGTATCACACAAGTCCAAGGATGAACATAAATTTGTTTATCAGACAATCAATCAATACGTGCCAGCTAGGGTTGAGAAACACACCTCAGCTAATGTGCCACAAACATGCCAGTCAAGTGAAGGATGCACAACGCTATGGGGTATTGCCATTGTTCATGAATCAAACGGCAGTAGATCTGTGCGCTATACGACGCGACGTCGTCAGGAAATCGATGCCGCTGCTAAATTTCCAACTTTCCAACCTGATAAAGATCACATACCTTTCGCCTAACGCCGTCACTCATTTTCCCCGGAAATGTTGATCAATGACACTTTGGTGACGTGATTGAAGGGAATTGGAGCTGTATCGAGCCTCGGTGATTTGACGGTAGCAGCTAACATGTGCTGCATGAGTTTAAAGATTAGGAGCCCAGCTACTAATACTCACCTTGGTCCACGACATAAGGGTGGCAATATCTTGTTCCGGTCCAAACAACTCTTTCGGCCAATCAAATGGTGAAATGAAAGCGGCAAAAGCGGGATGTCCAGGATAAACAAGAGTAAATAAAGGAGGGCGGCGCAGTGACTGATTGATGTGTGTAATTTCTGTAGTGGACACTCCGGAGCTATCGGTTGAGTCTTCGGGTCCGATAAAACCGCCGGATGGGGAGCGTCTCACTACATTCCCTGAGTCGTTCGCATCAAGTAAATTCGCACATTGATCATTGTTCGAGGATGCACAAGATTGTCGAGAGGTTTGTTTTTTGATCGGAGCGTCCAAGTTAGTCGTTGAATGAGAAGCCCATGTTATAGTAGTTGAGGTCGACACAGCTCCAGGAGTACCGGCACTCGAGTTGCACCCGGTAGATATATCTAGAAACGGAGCAGCAGAAGTTTCCAACAAATGTGCTATTGAAGACGTGCTTAAAGTACCGCTGGTTGTACATTGGGAAAAGGTGTCATCAGATGATTGCAAATCTGAAAGTGGAAAGATCCATTTGACAAGCGGGATAGGCATGAAAAAACTGTGTGTACCAAAAAACCATCACTCCTCATTAAAAGCCGGAAAGGATAAACAAGCGAGCTGAGGTACTGTGGGTCGAAAGTGCTGGGACAAGTGGGATAATGGACTTACAAGAAGCGGCTGAAGGCTCCACCAGTGTGAAATTGGAACGGCATTGGTTTTGAAACGGTGGAAGTCGGCGGTGGTTAGGCGGTATAACATGGGCGCGCATGGGATCATTTCGCGAGAGCGATGAAACGGCGTTCATCCCGCCCACAGAGAACATGTTGCTGGAGATTACAGGAGTCGGTATGAAGTACTGAAGTCTAGGGGTGTAGTACACTAAAGGGCGCTGATCGGAAGACGTATACGGATGCGTGGGGATCCCGTGATCAAAACAAAGAAAATGTTGGAAGTCTTCTGATAACCCAAATACGCCACCATCCGTTGGTGACCGGGTGGATCCTATAGTGGAAGCTGAGCGGGGAGGAGGAACCGGAGGCTGCTCCGATGTTTGAGTGTCACCTCTGAGTGCGTTAGAACCAATAGAATCCACCAAACGGCTGGAGTCAGGTGTCTGTGAGTTCGGGTCGAAAAAGAAGTCGTGTCCATCCTTAAAGTGCTCGACCAAGGAGGGGACCATTTGGTTAACTGAAGCAAAATCAGTAACCTGCGAAGCGTCTGGCTTAGGATCTGACAAGTAATCACCACTCCTACAGGAACTGGTATTAGTCAAAGCAGTTTCCGAAGAAGATCTTGAGTAGGAAGATGAAGCCGAAGAAGGCTCAGGGGAACCTGAAATGGGACTAGGTACTTCCTGAAGATTTGAATGCTCTGAAACTGAAAGATCGGGCTTTTGTAGATCCCGAAGTGCATCTGATAACGAACCGAAGGCGTCTGAAGACTGTCCACGTTGCGCACTCTGATTAGAGTATGAAATCGTAAGCTCTGGATGACACGGTCGGAAGGCTGTGGCAGGAGAGGGCTCCGTTGCAGTAAAATGTGCGGTGGATGTGGCTTCAGGTTCGCTTGTGTTCAATGACATTGTGCAAGGTTTCGGGCGAGACTGACTATCCATGGTAGTGGCCAAGTAAAACCTGGGCCCTATGAATCCGGCGGCAGTTGACGAACGAGAGACTGTTGGGTTGGTACGGGGGAAGGCCCGTTGACGAGAACCAAGAGAGTAATCAGCTAACGGTAAAGATGGCATATTGCGTGCACTGGATGGTTGTGGAGCTTGTCGGTTAGACTGGCTCGGGAGACCGACCAGTCCGTAACAATGGTTCGTAGAACATAATGGCAAATAGGAGTGATCGAGAGAATCGATGTGCTCCGCTTCATCCATGGGCGATTCAGAATCAGTCTTGTGGACCACTCCCATAGAGACAGCGGGCGAATGGTTCCGAGGCCACAGTGGGGAAACGGCGGACAGTGGATAACTGGTAGGGGAATTTGGAACATGAGTAAACTGAGGGCCACTTCGTGCAACGGGTGTGAAGCAAATGTTCCCGTTCAGCCCGGAGGGTAATAGCCCGTTGCAAGTAACCTTGAAGTCACCTTCGCGGAAATGGATAGACTCTTCAGTAGGCTCAGGCAAGTGAGTAGAAAAAGGGTTTAATTCGGGCAAAGTTGGAGAGGCCGCTGTGACTACAACAGGCAACTGATGGAGGCGGCGAGTTGGTCGATCAGAAAAACATCCGGAACTCTTAGGATTAGTCGATTCATTAGATCCTGGTAAAACAGGTGTTTTACATTCCATATCTGTCTCCAACAACCAATCACGTACTCGCTGGCTGTCCACGACAGCCATTTGTGAACTTTGTCCGTGAGTTCGAGTGAAATTCAAAAGATGAGGTAAATCCACATTATTTCGTGAAACTGTTTCTGGAATCGAAGTTGGGAGTTTCCGATGGTGCACACGTCTGTTAGTGCCAATGGATTCTGCGTTTATGTGGGCGATTTGGCGAAGATTTATATCATTCTGTGGAAAATGTGTAGAGAGAAAAAAAACCGAGCTAATGTGTGAAAGTGTGAAAAAACAGATGATTCCAGACAAACGTATAAGAATTTCGAATAGTGGTAATGGTGAAAAGTAAAGTACATCAAAAATAGAAATGACGCTCCATGACGGACACCTAATGTGCACAAATAGTTAGCGATGCACGAAAACGCAATCAATGGTGGAAGAATAATCAGGAGGAGCAGGAAAGGTAAGTGGGAGCTGAGGTATACCCATGATAGGTTAATAAAATGACACTAGGTTGCAAGAAAAAAGGGCAGCATTAGTCGTATACCGATGCGCCGCTATCACGCGTACGGCTTGAAATACTGCAAGGTCGTCCGTGAGCTCTAGCGATTATAAGTCAGATGTCTAATCCGACTGGCCGGTTGGCTGGTTGGTAACGGAAGCTTTCGATCGATGAACTTACATGGCTACATTCACATGGAGAGACAGTGAGAATGAAGTAGGGGAAAAGATATTCACACTAAAAGCATGCGGGTCGAAAGCATACTTTGGCTGTGCTGTGTGATGGGCGGAAGAAAAATGGACCTCGGTGATTGTGCTTTCCGCATTACTTTGGAATGCGGACCAGTTTAGTTGAATGGAATAGTAGATAGGCGGCGGAGTAGGAGAAAGTTGGTTTGGAAATGCATGATTGTGAGACAAAAACATCCAACTAGAAAGAACCGGAGGGGGACAACCATGAGCAATTCTACCAATGATCTACTCTAGTGTTCATTCGTCTACAAAAATGGGTGTGAAAGGTGAAAGCCACCAGAGACACGCATGGCTGTGTCCGAAAACAGAGCACACGGCAACGAGCCCAATGTAGCCGCTAGGCCAGTGTCCGAAGCACGCTGTCAAGTGACCTCGCTGGCAAGTGGAATCGCTTGTTTTAACTATCCTGTTACCGGCTTTGAGACTGCATACATAAGTTTGTGGAGGATCAAACCGATAGTTTGCGAATGAAAACGTATTTTTGCAAGCGACGTCAAAAGTAACAGGAGACAAAGATAGAATGAATAAAATTGATGGAAAAAGGTTCCCCCAGTCTAACGGCTACTTTTAGTAACCTAGACAGGCAGTCACTCTCAGTTGACTTCACTGGCATTGGATAATAAAATGCTGCATCACAACGACACAGGGGTACCGACTAAATAAAATTTTATCCACCTTGACTCGACGTGCCTTAAAGACAAGGAGGCGCACAGGACCATTATCAGTATGCCGGTACCACGTACTGACCCCTAGCTGACACAAGAATACAGACAGCTAATTGGCATCGGGACTAATTTCGTAGCCTAAGTGACGTTTGAAAAATGGGCTGAATCCGAGTCGAAAGCAAGCACATTGGGAAGCAACACCCAAACAGACATATAATGCAAAATCCGAGATCAAAATGTCGGGACATATTAGTGTGCAGTATGTTTGAGAAACGAGGGCGGAACCGATGCCAATGGGATAGTTGTCCTTCAGATACGGTGAGCAGTCGGGTGCTCTAGTAAGTGATGAGAAATCAGCAGATTCTCAGAAACTAGTGAATCACAACCATAAAAGTGAACGAAAATGAGACGCAACATAAACCTTTGGAGAGTTATAAAAGCTAAGGAGGAGACATGCGGGTTTATGAACCAAGGAAAAGAGACACATGGTAATATCTTCTGATGAGAGGAGAAATGATCACTATCGGCGGTTGTGATGTGCCATGAAGAGGATAAGAAACTGTCCCAAAAAACTGACAGTTCGAAAAGAAAGAAAAGCTGCAGTATAGACAGTCGCACGTCTGCGTCTGGTGTCAAAGTCTGTGGTTCATGACGGAAATCCCGTAAAACTGACATCAATCACACCGTGAAACGAGTCAGTCATCCGGAAAATGAATGCGAATATCAATAACTTCGACATCCAAATGAGCAATGCATCTTGTGTGAACAGTCACAACCCACGCGTGTAGCAGCTCTCGTGAATAACACGCACCACAGAAACGCATGAACGTGGACCAGTGCAGACACAGCACCGTCCGTCACCGACCGAAGGTGAAAGAACAGCACAGAAAACGCGAGAACGGTATGCAAATGCACGACGCGAGCGTTGACGACATGCCCACAGCGGGCACACATGACGGGAGAGTTAAGCAACATCACCACATATCGATCCACAACGGTTCGGCGAACAGACAATTTCGAAACAAAAACTAACGAAAAAATACGCCGACTAGGTGTGATGAAGCATCAGTGGATACAAAATAGGGTGGGAAATGGGTGGAAAATAAAACAAACGCAATTTTGTAAGATGGTTTAGGTCACCCTTTAGGTTGAAGATCCAACGAAGTATGGAAGCGAAGTGTTGCTAATCGCGAATAAATACGTGATAAAATAATTAAGTGCCGTTACCTGTGGATTACCAAAATGCATTTGATCGTTTGGGTCAAACTGAGACTACTTAGTAGCGAAAATGTCTTCGTGACCAGTGGGGTGAACAAGGAAAAGAAAAATGAACGCAAGATGAACACCAAATATTAACGACAGAACACCAAGGCATCATTGGAACAAATAGGCACATCCGTTGTGAAGTAACCCTGCCTAAGTTAAACACTACAAGAACAAGGAAACAAGCTACAGTCCCCCGCGTTTTGCATATAAAGAATACACAGTAGAGATAAATGAAACTGATCTAACCACTCAACACAGAGTCCCAAAAGCAGCTGGTCCGCTAACGACTACAATTAGAGACAGATGTGTATGCATTCAAGAGGCAACTCTTCATGCATCTGACCGCCAAGGAAGACAACGGGTACGATACTGAGATAAGTAAGCACCAAATGAGTGTCATATGCGGAAAAACCAAGAGGTTCAGGTGAGGCAGTGATTGCAGCATATTCACCTATAATTAATGCCTATGTTGCGAGTGTGTTGAGCGAAACTGTACATAGTGAAAGTAAAAAGGATGTGTGGCGCCTAATGAATGAAAAACAATATACGCATGTTCTCCATTTCAGTATAAAGATGTATGGTTTACCGGCGTCGCACGCACGGATAGGAGACCCTGGGCACTAGCATTGCGTAAACGCCGTTGAGCACTTGTCAGACGTATTGCAACCATTAGGGAGCCGCCAGGATTGTAAACCACGATGCAACAACTGTTCAGAAATAGTCGAGCTGTAGGGTACCGGGCGTCTCCCCTGGTTGCGGTGTGAGGTTGTGTACCTTTTTTGAACTGAAATGAATAACCAGTCGTGCACAATTCAGCGGCGGTGCTGGATGGCGTGTTGAGCTTTCACGTGGCAAGCGTTCTCCCCATAAAAGTCACATAGGCCGCTTGTAACCACTGTGACGTAGCGAATATGATTCGACCCTAAATAAAGTCATTGCGCACGGGAGGGTTTGATCTCTGGTAGGGCTCTTGTATCCAACCGAAAGGCGCATGAACCAAACGATCGGTCACCTGCTCCCATTGAATGTGTCCTCATATGGCCCCATTGCCTTGTGAGTTAGATGTTTTAGACAAAGGTTCGGGGTGGCAACCGCCTTAGAAAACCTCCTACTTCAGCGTAGGCAGCCGGGCAATATTTCGCCCACTGAAGAACCATGGAAATTGAATGAACTACAGTCAATCGTTTTGCTTATAGATTACTCTTCTGCTACTGCTACACTACCTACTTATCCACAATATTTCTGTATCATACTCTCTCGCCATCATATGACCTCTCATTGATGAACCGTAGCAATATACCAATCGAACAGCACCAGACCGCGGTAAAATAGTCCCAAACAATCCTCCATTTCTTCAACCAAAACGGTTCAATTTGAAAGCGTTCATTGTGCGTGACGTAATGCAGGTTGGACAACAAGCCGATGTCGCACGCACCCTGGAATCTCTTGCAAAAGATGTATGTTACTTATCTGAAGCCCGACCTCAGCATCCTAACACGGTATACCAACTGTCTTCAGCCTTACATCCGTTTCCTTCTTAGTCTTTCTGACGATGCCTAGTCCATTGCAGCTGGGCTAGCTGATGTTGGAAGCGCCCTTAGTGCCAGAGCCGAAGTCTTCCATCTTAAATGGGCTCTCTTTAACAGTCGCCTCTGGACTATGAGGCTACAATGCGTCGAGAAGACAAACGGGCTCCTTTGTAATCTCCGCCTATGGGCTCACTGACTGTAGCCCGGATACAGTCAGACATATTCTAGCAGAACCTTTATGACCTACTTTTAAAGCATCCCAAAATGGACATCATTGTTATGGCGAGGGATCTCAACTCGCGTGTTGGTCGTTTACTGTCAAACGAACGCCGTCTCGGAGATCCGCATAGATACGATAACGTTGGCTCGGATACTGGAAAAGGCTGTTCAACCAATGCACCGACTATTAACTTTACCTATTCAACGTGAGCTTTCGCTACCCGAGATGTCACTACGCTACCTGGCGTGCTCCATCATCGTTAAAACGTTGGTCGCAGATCGACCACATTACCATAAGTTACTGGTGGCGTGGCAGTGTTCGAGACTGCAGATTTTATTGGTCAACTTACACCGAATCTGAGCACATGCTGACACGTGCGACGGTATGTATGCACTTTAGTGGCTCGCCCGTTTGAACACTGGTAACCCGCTGCTCAAATGGAATAACAAAGGAGGCACGTGACAACCTCACTTCTCCCCCTCCGCTGGACGTTTAGCAACATTGGCTGCGTTTACAACAGGTCTGATCACCTGTTCGTTCAAAGACTAAGAAAATGAATCTCGGCGACATCGTCGGAACAACTTGACCGTTGACGGTCTAGTGTGAAGCATATGGCACTACGATGAACAATCAACAATTAAAAGCAAGTTATCGCAGAGAATGTAAATTCTGATGATCCAAACATGTCACGGAACTGGAAGCTTCTGTCGCTGTTAGAAACACTCGCAGATTATATCATGGGAACAGATCCACAGTATGCAAAGTATATGCTATCAGCGAGACAATCTGTGCTTTAGACCG